TCCTCTCTCAATCTCTGTGAGGATCTGTAACACTTTGCAACTGAGGGACGTTTCAACTCGGAAACTGGGCTCATGCTATGAAATTCCTACCTTGAAAATGACGATTGGCGAGCTGCACATGTTGACTTTCTACTGCACACACTATGACTTATTTCGACGAAACTAGGGAATGAAATAGAACGAGTTCAACTTTAAATAGATTAGTTTAATACATTGTTGTGATGTTGGACTTTTAAAGGATACGTCTATAAATAGTACTAATTTACAACATGAAAAAAATAATTATCTAAAGAAACAGGTTGCATCAAATTTTTTGCATTCAAGTCCATTTCTGTTTGTTATACGCAAGCAGTCTAAATATTAAGCACCGAAACCGTACGCCTAAATGATCTTACCAGGAAGAGTTCAAATCGTCACAATATATATAGCGTCGCTTAGCCATTGATCCTATTGAATATGGTTGTCCTGCATGGTAATTTAAAAATTATAAATGCAACCTTTATTAATGTTGGAAATTTCTGTCAACTACGACCACAAAAAATACATACGATAGCATTTTATTATTTTCCAAGATTACAGATTCCGTAAAAAATTCCCGTCCCCAGGTTCAATAAAAATTTCTCATTCCAATGACTTGCTTGGGCCATCAAAATGAAGTCCCACGAGAATGCCCATTCCGCAGTAGGAATGCCGCGGTTCCAGGCTGCCCTGAACGCCCAAGAATGCGGCTCGTTAGGTTCAATAAAAATTTCTCATTCCAATGACTTGCTTGGGCCATCAAAATGAAGTCCCACGAGAATGCCCATTCCCAGTAGGAATGCCGCGGTTCCAGGCTGCCCCGAACGCCCAAGAATGCGGCTCGTTGGGGGCAAAGCCTTGAGTAAATGCCACGCATACCGCAAAATCTTGGGCGCGTTTAAGCTCCGCCGCGACGGATGATCTTCTACGCTCAAACGGGCGCAATTTTGAACACAACCTGCAGCGGCTCGTTGTTTATTGCTGGGCAGCGCGGACACGGCGCTTATTGCGGAATACATTAAAAAGAGAGACCACACATTTAACTGGTCGAGATTCTCACGCACCTCAGCTTTATGCGCGCAGTTAGCATCGTGAAATTCAGCACTACTGCGACTAACCTCTGACCTCAGCCATTGAAAGAATGGCATTCTATTTCCAACCGGCATCGGTGAAAAGGTTGGTCACTCGCGACTGAGCATCATAGCACCAAAGAAAGTTAATGAGCTATTTTAACGCCGAGGAGGAAGCTCCAATTTGAAAAATGTTTATTTTTAATTTGTAAACCATACAAATATTTTTATGGTTTATTAATGTAGATGAATTATACCGGAGTAGCACAACGGAAGCCGTCTCCAGTCGACGCCAGGGTCGCTCGAGTGATCACAATAGCTATGCAAGATTTTATGCAAAAAATAACAGCATCCGCCGTAACGACTGCAGGAGGCAAGGGATTGGTGCTACATTTATTCGTATATTCCCCTGCTGACGGGGCTGAAAGTGTGAGGGTATAAAGATTTAAAATCTTTATATACAAATATATAAAGATCGTTATTTTTATCAGAATTCGAGGAGCGTTGAACCCTTTCTTGATGCCTGCGTAGCATTATTATTATCACAACTATTAATGGAAGCCGATCATCCAGGCTAAAAAATACTTTCGTTATTATTTAATGCTACAATTCTTCGTTCATTCCCTACACAGGTCTTTAGTTTAGGGGCCTGTGCTACTTAATATTGAACAACAGACAAAAAAAACTGTTCCGGATGAAGAACAGTAGGCGTTGCCGCGTACCTCATTCAGACCTGCATTCTATAACGAGAGTATGTCTCTCGTTTTCCCTTGAACAATAAGTATTGTGGGCGGCTGGCGCATGGAGTAAAAGCGTCACGAACGCCTGCTGCTGGAGTCATTAGTGCAGGAACTTACGGACGCTTTCTTACGCATAAGTAAGAGCGCAGTCAGGTGTGTGTAAGGAGCTCATACGGTGGCTGTACGTCGTCGCGGAAACTCCTTCAGTGCAGCGCCAAACTCAGCGTGCTCATTTGCATCAAAATTCAAGTTCTCAACGCAACGTTTATTCCATCAATTATTCGGTAGGCATTTATTTTGGAAATTACGAGACTTGCATTACAATAGGTGCTCCGAAAATTGAGGGTGTATGCAAGTAGAAATTAAATGACTGATGTCCAAAAATTATGTTAATATTTTGATAACGATCGCGGTCGTATAACGAAAATACAGGGGAGATGGTGAAAGTGTTTCACTCAGTGATCGATCTTTATTGTGACACGAGAGTAAAGATAATCCTTAGTTTTCTTACATTTTTGTTCAGGAAGTGCTAGAGACAGAATTGAATAAGTGAAAAACTGTAGCACATCAACGGCCAGCTGCAGGTATTATATATTGTAAGGTATAATATACAACGTGATTAAAGGGATTCAAAGCATCGAGACTTCCTTAATTTACAACACTCCACGCAAATAAAAGACTTTTTGAAAGATCGTTACAAATATTATAATTCGCACGTAAAGCCCTACGTGGTGACATGATGTGGATGCGATATAATTAAGCCTATGACAGACCAAAATCTCAGGGTATACTCGTATACATAAATGCATATCAAGTCACGAGATAGCGTCGATGTTTTGCTCATTTATTGTACACTGTACGCAATACTGACGTATGGTACTCAGTAGTGATTTGAAGTTGAATTAATTAATTAATTCAAGTTATTTGATAATAATCTGAAATATTTTAAACAGTTGAGGTATTAATTTGAATTATTTGAAACAGTTGATGGCAGTGAACAACTCGCCGTAACGCGTGGTTATAAGCTAAAATGATTTTCAGATACTCGACCAAACCAGCCTTATTTGAAACAGTTGATGGATAAATTTATTATGTTTTAAGTATTTAATATATCAATTGGTTTATTTCAAGCGGTTACTGTAGCTACTAATTTGGGATATTTCAAACATTTATCTCTTTAATTTGACTTAGTTATTAAGCCCAATGTATTAATTTAAATTAGTTAAATTAGTCAATGTAATAATTTGAGTTAGTTAAAGTAGTTAATGTTTTAATTTACGCTATTTAAAGTAGTTGAAAGAATCTTTTGAGTTTATTACTCTATTTATTTATTTGAGTTTTTTAAAGCAGTAATGGATTCATTTGGGAGATTTCATTACGTTAATTTATTGATTTTGTTATGTATGATGTATTTATATAAAGTAAGATTATATAAGGGTCCATTGAGCTCATCGGGCTGCTTAATAACGCTTGTCATTACTCACCATCGTTATACATTCTTCCATAAGGATTTTTCGAATTCATGAAAATATCGAGCTTTATTCGTCTTATTTTTATCTCAATTCGAGTATTAAAAATGAAACGAGGAGCCAGTCACAGCGGAAACCAATAAAGCTGACGAGCGGAAAATCTAGAATTTCCAAGTGGAACGCATTTAAATTCTTCATAATTCGCAGCGCCTCAAACTTATCCTGAGTAATCTTGTCGAACCCTCGAGTGAACAAAATAACATCATTGCAACTGTTCACATGACAAGTTCCATCGTTATTAGTTAAGTTAGTTAGTTATTGGTAGAGCTCATAAGGAACTAAATTAGGTTAACAACTCATTGACTTTTAAGACAAAAAATCCAGTCGCATTAAACATTGACAACAAAATATTAATCTCAATAGTCGCAGGAACCTTCAGTCAACTTGCCAAAAACAAATATTGGTAAAAAATATAAATTTTCACCACAAATTAACACCAGTCGAGTTATTAAGGCGCCAAACATAATCAGCAAAATATTCAAAATAAACACAATAACATCCACTTAAGTGATAAGAAACCAACCTTTGTTAACAAATATCAATTTTTAAAACACAACATCCAGTCGACTTGATAAGAAACGTGATATGGTCAAGTTATTTTGCTGTCAATTAACACAAAGGATGGAACTTGCGCAGTCAGCGGACTTACACTCATACGAACGGTAGCGGCAGAAGAAGGGGTCTCTCAGTTCAATAATGACGGACTCCTGAAACGCTCGTGCGGACACAAGCCCAACACGTTGCTGACAGGATAATAATAAGAGTTTCTTTTGAATCAATAAAATTTGAATCAATAAAATTCTTTTCTTTTGAATCAATAAAATTTGTTTCGAGCATTCTAATTATAAAGGTTGGAAAAATCAGTAGTATTTAGTTGGGAGATTTTATACACTAAATATGAGGAGTGCCCGTGGGTGTCAGGTAAAAAGGCATTTTACAATCGAGACAATCTCATACTTGGTATTGTTACAGCGAATTATATTTTCAAGCCAGTGTCATATCAAGGAAGATAGAAACTACAACCTAGTGATATGCCAGAAAAAATGACAACTTCAACCTAGCAATGTGCCAAAAACACTTCAAGCTAGTGATTGCCACATAAGATAATGATGTAAGGCTCGTTAGATGTCAAGGAAGATTATGATTTCAGGCTATTCTAAGGTCAAAGGAAATAACTTTCATCTGAAACTCACTGTATGCTCTAGATTCTTGAGTGTAGGGAAGCCTGGGAAGTAAAGCTCAGTCTGCGCTCCAGGACACAAGCCCCTCAGGATGTCCTCCCTAGGGATGCTCCACGCCTCTCCGTGAATCAAGTCGCACTTGGCATGGTTCATGCGAACCGGTGGGAAATGCTCGGGAATCTGTAAAATTATTAATTTAAGTATTTAGAATTATAGAATATTATTAACACGGCACAGTTCACGCATCAAATTACGTCAGTATTAACTGTGCGATCTATTTTCACATAAATGCGTAACAAATACTCAGGATGATATATAATTATAATATTGCTACTGTGGCACGATCACTGAACATTGAATTAACCTCATATGCACCGAGGTCGTCCGGTGTGAAGCTGTAGACGTGCATGGGACCAGGGATAAAGGATAAAATAAAATCAGGTTGCAATTATTCCAGTATAAAATAGCGTGAACTAACCTCATAAGCACCGAGGTCGTCCGGCGTGAAGCTGTAGACATGCGTGGGACCATGAACAGAGCGTCGTCGCTCGTCTTCAGTGAGATGATGGCTCACTTTAGACATGGCCTGCAGCAGACATTCCTCGCTAATGAACGGCATGCGTGTCACAGCATCCCAGTCCTGAAAAGGATTTATTGAATATTTTTCACGGAACTTCAGCTGCCTTCTTCTAATTTGAGCCTATTTTCATATTTTAATCAGTAGTGTGCGGAAAATTTCCACATTTTGTGCTTAAATTTTACTCTTATACATGTAACCTAAAATTTAAGAACATTGAAGATATTCCTCGAAAATTCAATCACCATTTTTCACTTTCCAATTAAGTAATAATTCACCGCATTTTCTGTTGAACTTTTGTATTGGTAATTGTAAATTAAAAAATACGAACATAATCACGCGGATAGAAGTCGATGATAGGCGAGTCAGGGCTGAGCATGAGGTCAGCGTAGCACTGAGGTAGCAGCTGGGCGCTCTGGGGTGGCAGGACGGCCATCAGCTGTTCAAACGGCATCATGGCGTGGCTTAGTTCGAACTCCATGGGGCAGTCAGAGAAATCTTTGATGTCGGAAATGAAAGGTGCGCAATGGAAGGGGTAATACCAAGACCATGACTGAATACCGTTGTAGTAGTAATGTAAGATCCATTGCAGTCCTCGTACGTGGTTGACGGTCTGCTCCCGACTTATGACATCTAATGTTACATCCTCTTTGTAGCCCATTTCACTGACGTAATATTTGCGCTTGTGCTCAAGAAATTCTCGGTCTCCTGTAAGGTCGTGGCTTTTTTCGACTTCTTTGACACCAGATAATAGATCAGGGTCGCGAATATCAAGATCCCGGAGAGTCTCTTCGGTCGGTTTGACGATCTCATCGTCATCAAGAGCTGCCCAAGAGACACTTCCATCAAGCTCACCTCCATCATAGGAACTATCTTCCTTTTCATCACTGAATTTGTTCTCCACTTCATTTTCATTGAAATTTACAATCTCTCTCTTATCATCATTGACATTGTTTTCCTCTTCACCATCCTCATTGAAATTGTTTTCCGCATCATTGTTGACATTTTGAAGCTCGTTTGCGGTCTGGATAAGTGTGCTTGCATCATGCCTTTCGAGGAACTTCTCGTAATCAAACTTGGCCAGCTTAGCCATGAACTTCTGAAACCTCGGCAGGTTAAGGATGCCTGCTTCATTGAGGTATCCGTCCAGCTCTGGCATGACGCTCTTGTAAGCGTCAAAGAGCTCTGGTAATACGTCGTTGTCAATGTGCATGATGGGCAAGCGAGGGATAAAGTCATTTCCCAACACGAACAGCATGAAAACCCAGTCATCGATAATTCTTTCCAAATCATATTTGAATGACAACTTGTGACTGATGTCTTCAAAGTCATGGTTGATATACTCTCTCAGGAGACTCAGATGCAGCCACAGGTACGTGGTTTCTTCAGTGGCTGTTGGGCGTTTAGGTGATCGGTCGAAACCTCGTAATGTCCTCTGAAAAAAATTCTAAATTACTTTGCTTATGCACCATGAAATACAAATACTTGGCCCTTTTATGCAATCAATAGAACTTGAGTGATTCCGATCATAAAGAGGTGTTGTTAGAATTTCTCATTTATGTGCTGATACAATCTGATTACATAAGCTGTTATTCATCGATTATAATTAATATATATTGATATACAGGGGTTAGACTAAGACAAAATAGGGGAAACACCTGAGAAATCCACAAAATATATTTTAATATGTTGTAGGTCTACCTTTTGTGGCAATTACAGCCTCAATTCTCCGAGGTAGTGATTCATACAAATTGTGAATTGTTCCCGAATGAATTTTAACTCATACTTCAGTTAAAACTCCCTACAGCTCTTTCAAAGACGATGGCGGCCGGAATCGACTTCGGACTTGCATTTCCAAAATCAAACATAAATGCTTAATAATATTTAGGTCTGGTGATTGTGGTGGCTAAATGAGATGCTCAACTTCATTACCACGTTCCTCGTGCAATTTTTAGCGCATTCTCATTCTCATTTATGGAAAAAATTCACTATTGTGCTCGCCATGTCCGTCCGTCTGTCCGTCCGTGACTTCACGTTTTCGTCGACGAGAAAATGCGCTCTCTGTCACTCACTGCAGTGAGTGCTGAGTTATATTTTTTAAACAATTACAGCTGTCTCTAATTTCGGCACTTCTAAAAAATCTATATCTGTGCAGCTATCGGCGGAGTCCTTATGGAAACTGGTTTCTGTGGGTGTCCATTGAGGTCTGCATTAACTCTAACAGCCGTGGTCTTAAGATTGTCCCTCACAATTCGATCTAGGTACTGACGGTCTCTCTCAGACACCTCCGACTTATGGCCAGACCTGTGCTTGGCCGAGGACGTTTTTCCTTGTCTTTCATAAGAAGTCATTACTTTTGAGACGGTACCTCTAGAAACGTCAAGCCTTCGGGAAGATTCTGTCACACTAGCACCTCTTTCAAAGTCAGACAGGTTTACCATTTATAGGTCATAGGATAGGTTATAGACACAAAAGATTACTAATAATATCTGTGCAAAAATAAAATATCAATTAGCAGCAACAATAAGCAATAAAACATAAAAAAATATAACTCAGTNATTAATTCCTGTTTTCTGTGACGAGCACTATGAGAGTAACTTTCAGTAAGTGAACAACGAGTTTGTTCCACCCGCTAGTGCGCCCGGTTACAACGGATGGGCGGACAGATGGACGAACAGACAGACAGACAGACGGACATGGCGAGCACAATAGTGCATTTTTTCCATAAATGAGAAAATGCGCTACAATTATGTCACGTTTTCGTTGTTTATAACATGTTCAAAAATTATGTTATCAAAATGTCTGGGGGTTTCCTTTATTTTTCTCAGCTCCTGTATATATTATTTGAGCTTTTCCTCCTTATATCAACGTACTTGAAGGAAAACACATTGCAAATGATTAATTTGTAAGATAAAGACCGCGATATAACATTCTGCATCTAACTTTAAAATTAAGTTTCTCTATTGAAATGAACACCTATTAAGAATATCTCTAAATGATTTCCTTGCAGCAGGCCAAAAGTAATAAATATAATATTTGTTAAGAAGTTATAGGAAGTGCCATGTGATCGCCTCACACCTCCCTGTCTCTTATACACATCTAGATGTGTATAAGAGACAGTTGGGTTGCTTCTTGACTACTTGTCGCATGCGTGGCTAGCAGTTAGTCTAGAAATGCCAAAAGGGGAGCTAATGACAGCATTCGGGGTCGTACCGTTCTCTGCGTGTTGCCCAGTGCTTGTCGAGCCTGATCTTGAAAGCGTTAATAGAGGAGGCAGTGACTACACTGTCCGGCAGGCTGTTCCATATTGACACGACTCTGTAGGAGAAGTAGCCGGCTCTGACGTTCAGTCTGCAGCGGCCCTTAGCGAGTTTCAGGCTGTTCCCGCGGGTATCTCTGCCGTCGTGAAGGTGCAGCTGGGGGAAAATAAAAGCAAATCCTTAAGTAATTCATTAATTCCCGTTTTCTGTGACGAGCACTATAAGAGTAATTTTCAGTAAGTGAACAACGAGTTTGTTCCACCCGCTAGTGCGCCCGGTTACAGTGGCATCTCCGACGGGATTTGTCTTTTTCTAACACAGTAAATAAAGTTTAAAGTGCTTATAAACTGTCACAGCTAATTTTTAACATGCCAATTGCTCAGTAACAAATAAAAAAATACTTGAAGTAACTAACCTGTTTTCATAACTAAATAATTTTTCTAAATGCCAAGAACTCAAAAATAATTCAAGCCCTAATAATCAATGTAACAACCTAAAAAAATTTTGTTTAATGCCAATAACTCATAAGAATCATTTAGTTAGTAAATATGGAACGTGGGTGGAGTGATAAGGTGGTAGCTGACCGTGCTGCTTCCACCAAAGTCAATGATGAAGAGGCATACATTATTGAGCACCAAGATGCTGCATCAGTCCCTGCTCCGGTGTCTGGCCAACCTTCTGGCTGGGCAGCAGCTGCGCCTCCGCCATCTACTAAGCCAAAAGCAACCGCAGCAACAACAAGGTTGTTGGGGCCCCATGACCATGCTGTGGCTACTACTGCTGCATCCCAGCCTGATGTGCCTGCTTCAGCTGTTCGTCGGCCGTCAGACCTCACTGAGGAGCACATGTCAACGCTGCTCTCCTTTCAGTCGCTGCTGATTCAATTTTCTCATCCTCGTGTACGAGCGGATTTTGTTAATCGTGAATTCGGATTTAACATTAACCCCGACTTGTTACCGCGAATTGACGAGCTGCGTTGGACAATATTGCCACGATGGTCGGGAGGCTCCATCACGACCCTAACTATGAGGAACCAAGTTGCCATTAATCATCAGCTCAAACTGCTGGACCAAAGTGAAGATTTGTTGCTGACCGATACTGACGCCATTGATCGCTGCCTAACGTATAAAGAGTGGTTCTCTACTCTACAGACTATCGCAGCTGATAGATACTGGGATCGCGTGCCCCCTGAAAGCCGCTGTACCCACATCCTTGCCTCTGATGATGAGAGATGTGCCAGTCTCAGTACCCATTCATCTCAGGTCGCGCGCAAACCATACTTGCCCAGTAATAATGATGGACATCCCAGGAAGGTCAAACGCTCGAAATCAAGCTCGGCAACTACACAAAAAGAAATTGTACGTAAGGAAAGCTCTCACGTGAAGTCCAAGAAGAGTAAGGCATGCAAAATTGAAGAGGTAGTCATCTCATCATCGGATATTTCTTCTGACGAGTCACAATGTTCTGATGGTATTAGATATCATTGTTCTCCTCCTGACGACGCTGCAAAGATTGTACCGCAAGTGAACTACCCTCTTAGTGGTCTAATTGCTGACACCAGGTCAGTGGTAACTCCTCCAGTGTTTCAGATGGATGGAAAGATGACTCTTAAAGAATATTTAGTGATTTTTGAGAAATATTTTACTAACAAATTTAGAGGTGATTCCCGTGATAAGTCACAAATGCTAGTACGTAAGGAAAGTTCTCACTTGAAGTCCAAGAAGAGTAAGGCATGCAAAATTGAAGAAGTAGTCATCTCATCATCGGATATTACTACTGACGAGTCTGAAAGTTCTGATAGTGTTAGATACCATTCTTCTCCTCCTGATGATGCTGCAAAGATTGCACCACAAGTGAACTACCCTCTTAGTGGTCTGATTGCTGACACCAGGTCAGTGGTAACTCCTCCAGTGTTTCAGATGGATGGAAAGATGACTCTTAAAGAATATTTAGTGATTTTTGAGAAATATTTTACTAACAAATTTAGAGGTGATTCCCGTGATAAGTCACAAATGCTGGCAAAATTTATTACTGGTGATTTACTGAGAGTTTATGAGATAAGAGGTGGTAGTAAGATGGACTACGAGGATATTAAGGATCAACTGCTGCAGTATTATCGTAAAAAGAGAATAGGTGGAAAGAGCTACTGGAGAAAGGAACTTGCTAAAGCCACTCCAGAGGCAGGCGAGGGTTATGACATATTTGGTATGAGGCTTAGTGAGCTAGCACAGTTAGCATATCCGGAGAACAAGAAGGAATGTGCAAGAACCCTCCGACATGTATTTCTGCAAGCATTGCCCAGTCACATCACAGAAAAGATCCTCGACGCCGAGAGTGGACTGAAGGCCTCCAGTAATGCGAAGTCAAAGTATCTGACATTCTCTGGTCTTATGGAGATGGCTAAAGACCTCCAAGATCGCTCCAAGACAATAATGTGGGCTAGTCAGCCTCCAGCAGCAGTTCCTCGCGAGTCTCAAAAGTCACCAAAAGGGCCTAGCGTGCGTCCTCGTGAATACCGGCCACAGCAGAAGATGCAAACGACACCAGACAGAAGCGCGAATTCCACGAACTCTGAAGATCAACGACAGACGCCACGGCGTCAGCAATCTTCAGGACACTCAGTCAGGCGGTCACCATGCTCCTATTGTAAGCGACCTGGTCATCATGTTCGAGAATGCTGGAGAGCTTCGAAGTCTTGCTTGATTTGTGGTGGTGGACATTTCATCGAAAATTGCCCTAGATACGATTCAAACTATCGATCGCGTTCGCAGCCCCGTAAGAAGGCTGAGCAGAAGCCTTTAAACTAAGTGGTCTCTCTGATGAGGGGCGTGCAGCGAGACGATCTTATTCAGCCCTAACTAGCCGTAATGAATCAAGCCAGCAGCCTGTTTCAAACATCAGAAAACCCACTGATGATCCCTTGAAGCGGGACAAGGATCGCAATGTACAAGTTGCTAAGTCAGGTGCAAGTTCAGCTACAGCGGAGAAACGCGCGACTGCGTCGACCGGCTCCACAGGTCTAGTGACTACTCGCAAAGCTGATGCCAACGATGCTCACTCACGCCAGTTGTCTGGTAGTTGTGACCGCAGTGCAATTGAAGCTGACGTGGTTGTAGTTCGCGCTGATACAAGGTATGGTGCTACTGGTAACTGTAATGCTGATAATACCATTATGTCTCCTTCTGAGACTCGAACTAACATGACAGAACCAGTGCCCAGTGAAATAAGAACACCGTGTATTCCTGGCCGAGTAGTGAACTTGCTAACCAGTAATGTTGAGTTACTGAAGGTAGAAATTTTATTGAATAAGACTCTAGTCACTGCCGTTATTGATACTGGTGCAGAAAATTCGTTGATTTCTTGTGATTTAGCCTTAAGATGTGGACTGGAAGTGAGTAATGAACCCAAAACTTTCCGAGTGATAGGACAGCAATATTTTCAGACTGTAGGAACAGCAAAGTGTGATGTAGTTATTGATGGTGTTGTGATGCTGGCACCGCAGCTAGTTGTTTTTCCTGGTAATGCTAACACAAACATTTCTCTTTTACTTGGAATTGATTTTTTAAAGATGAATAGAATTGAATTGTGCATTAGTAAACGGTTGCTTGTGAGACATTATGACGATGGTAGTACTGCCGAAATTTATTTAAATCGTCTGGGTGAATCTTTGAAAGTTATGTTTTGTTCTATACCTGTCTCTTATACACNTGATAGGCTTTGCGTCAATGACTTTTTCTTCCACACAGCAAAATTATTCGACTCTAGAGAGGGAGCTAACCGCACTTCGATGGGGAGTGAAAACTTTTAGGCCTTTTCTCTTTGGAGTATCGTTTAATTTGTATACCGACCACCAACCATTAGTTCACCTGCACAACATGAAAATTGTTTGTTCTAGGTTGGCGCGCACGGTAGAAGAACTTGCCGACTATGTATTTAATATCTATTATGTTCCTGGTCATTTAAATTGTGCTGCCGATGCTTTGTCTAGGCTCAACTGCAAAGTTCCTGATTGTGATGAAGTAGAGTCACCCGTCCTTCCTGCTGGCCTTGTGTTGAATGGTTACCCAGTACCTGGCGGAGGTGATTCATTA